CCCCAAGGGAGGGGGTGGTGGTGGTGGTGGTGGTGGCGGAGACAATGGTTCTGACAAAGGGGTTGGGGCTGATGTCTAGGAGCAGCAGTAGCCACAGCAGCAGCAGTCGCAGCAGCCGTCGCAGCAGCAGCAGCAGCCATGGGCCCGCCTCCCGCCGGGGTGGCCAGTAGCCCCTAGAGGTGGTGGCCGCGGTGACGGTCCTCGCAGCTCGGCGTCTACTGGCGGCTTTGGTGCTGTGAGCGGCCAGTATCAGCTCTAGACCGGGCCCCTTTCTGGCACTGTGTGCCACCACCCGCACCCGACTGCCTGCTGCTTCCGCCGCCTCGACGACCTTTTCCGTCTCCGCTTCGGCCCGGCCTCGGACCTGCAGTTCTTTCCGTCCTCTGCAGACCCCTCGCTCTTCGTTCGTGCTGGCCAGACTCCGTTTTACATCCTTGTCTACGTAGACAACCTGGTCTTCGCTACTGCACATAGAGACGCACTAGCTTCAGTGAAGGCCGAGCTGCTAAGAAGACACACCTGCACTGACCTAGGAGAGCTGCGCCGCTACCTTGGCCAGCAGATCTCCAGGGTCGGAGCAGCACACACCATCACTCTCACACAGTCACATTTGTTGCGCCAAGTGTGTCAGAGGTTCGGTCTTGAGTTCTCCTCCGCACAGCCCACACCTCTGCCAGTAGATCACCGGCTCTCAGCTCCAGTTCATGAGGAGTCAGTAGAGCCCAGTGGTCCTTACGCAGAGCTGATGGGTTACCTCATATACCTGATGACTTGCACTTGTCTTGATCTCGCATACCCTCTCAGCATCCTGTCGCGCTTTGTGGCCACAGGCAGACACCGACCACAGCACTGGTCGGCTGCTAAGAGGGTTTTGCATTATCTAGTAAGTACATCGAGCATGGGGCTAGTGCTGGAAGGACGCAAGCCAGTGGTCCTTACTGATCACATAGACACTTCTTGGGCAGACGACGCTGAGACGCTCAGGTACTCCCTGGCCTACTGCTTTAGCCGAGCCGCGGTGTCGCTGTGCCGCGTCGACCCGCCGGCCCTGGTTCCCTCGTCTGCATCGGTGCTCCCACAAGCCGTCTTCATCGCCGCTCTCAATCGCTCCCATCCGCTCTCTCCTCCTCCTCCTCCTCCTCCTCTTGCGGCGGTCCGGTGCTGCAGCTGTGGCGATGGCGGACGCTGTGCTCTGCCTAGACGTGGAGGGTCGAACGGTTGTCTTTGAGATGTGGCTCGCAAACCTCCGCCGCTCGCTGAGGGGACAGCGACAGGATGGCAAGTCTCTGGCCGTCTACGTTGACGATAAGATCCCCTGCCCCGACCCGCCTGATGCCCTCTCTAACGTCCCTTTCCGCTGAACGTGAGGCCTTTGCAGCTGCTAAGCTCGCCCGCTCTGCCTGTGAGTCATGTGACGCAGTCGTGCAGCATGCTATCAGTCGCGCCCTCCCTGTGTCTGAGCATCCCTGCTACCAGGTCTTAGAGACTACGCAGGTATGCTTAGATGCCGTCATTGCGTGCTATTCTACTCCCTCCTCCCCCTCTACCAGCCATCTTCTTCGCCCCCTGCTCTTTCCTGACCTTGCGTCCTTACCCATTGTCGCTGATCTTGCCACTCACCTGTGTCCGCTAGAAGCCAGCTACCGCGCTGCTAGCACTAAGGCTCAACTCCTTATACTGCCTCCCCCCCGCAGCGCTACCCTATACTTCCTTGCCACGAGCCTTTTTGACTACCTAGCCACTGCTCGCGACCACTTCCTTGGCCTCCACACCGCTGACCTAACCCTCACGGACTTTGTCACTACCTTGTCCGCGATAGATACTTGCCAGGGCACTATCGCTCAATCAAGCAGTACTGCGGCGGTCCCTATCTTCCACGAATGTGCTCCCACCGAGTGCACTTACTCTGACGTCTCTACTGCTGTCGTTGAGACGCCCTCTGCTGCGGAGACCGCTGCGGCAGCCTCAGCGCAGTCTCATCAGGGTAGGGGACGCCGGGCCTAGGGGTGGCATGGCAGCGAGAGGGGTGGCAGGGGTGGCTGAGGTGGCGGAGGTGGTGGAGGGGACCGAGGCTGGTGCCCCGGCGCAGCAGCAAGAGCAGCAGTAGCAGCTGTGAGAGTACGACCCCGTGACACTTCTTTGTCATTTCCATCTTTCTCCTCTATCTTATTCTTCTATTTTTTCCTGATTCTTGTGGTCTTTATCTCATCTCATTTGGGTTCCTAGTCCTCATTTTCCATTATCCTTTGGTTTATCCTATTATTATAATTATATCACCGACCAGGCTCGGGCGTACTCGCGCGCCATAGCTAGCGTAATCTTGCCGTAATCCCATTAAGTCAATAGCCGTGTGTGGCTATATGTAGGGTCATTCTATTTCTAGAAGGGTCTATTCCCTTTGGATAGGATAAACTAGGTTACCTGATGTACATTGGAAGTATAAAAGCGCCTTGTATCTATCCATAGTGCTAACTTTTCCTTGACCCATTCGATCCCGTAACACTTGGTAATAAGAGCTTTTCTCACTCGGCCGCGGTCAGCTAAGCAGCAGAAGCGGGAAAACCTGCCTCGAAATACCTTTGGGGGCGACTAATCCGGTGCCGATTATGGTAAGCACCACCTCCGCGTTTTTTTAATTAACCCCTCCGCGCGTGTCTTGAACATGATGGCAAACTTCGACAACGCCAAGGTTACCCAGCAGCTCTTCGCGCGCATCGCCGCCCTACACGAGGAGATGTGAGCCGACCGCAAAGCTTGGCGAAACGAGTTTGAGCGAGTAACTCGACATGCCGGTGCGCAGCACGAAACGATAACATCGACGACGCAGCATTCGCGACAGTTTCTCTAGGCTCCGATATCGCGCCCGCCCGAGTCGTTCGATCCGAGCGATTGAAATTCCGACGTCCGCAGATGGATTGCCGACATGGAGATCTACTTTGCAGCCGTCGGATGGAGCTCGCCAGTCTGGGATGGTCAATGCATGCGACTTGCGGCGAAACTAATGTAAGGACCGGCACTCGAGTGGATCCGCGGCAACAGTACCTTCATCCAAGGTAAAGCCACGTGGCAGCAGTTCTGCACCACCCTGCTGAAACGTTTCGAGCCGATAAATTCCGGTTTCCTTGCCTAGGAAAAAATTCATCGCCATCGACAGTTCGAGAGTGTAGCACATTACATGCAGCAGAAGGAAGAATTTTATAACCGCATTCCCGACCTAACCAAAGGGGGAAAAGTACAGTCGTATCTCGCCGGGCTGAAGACTGAAGTCAAACAACAGGTAGCAGCGACAAAATACGCGAGCTACAGTGCCGTGTTTCAGCAGCGGAGCGGTTTGACATGGTCAACTCCGGAACACGACGGGCGCACGTCGGCAGTACGCGACAGGGCGACCGCTCTGCTTACCCCACGTTCGCCAGCACGATGGAAATCGACAGGCTCAACGGGTGGCCACGCCCGAAAAACACCAACTTCACGTGTGATTTTTGCGGGGTGCAGGCCCATCGAATATTCGACTGTAACAAAATGAAAGCTGTATGTGCACAGTATCGAGCGTGCACCAGTGGCGGGAATTCTTCGGCCAATCAGAAGACAAAAAACAAGAATCGCCAGTGATTACGGATCTAGCTGGCGAAAAAGAAAAGATCCGAAAGCGGTCGCAGGATTCTAGAAAAATCAACTTCAACGAAGCTGATTCAACGCGAGCATGAGGAAATGGTGGGGGAAAATCTCCACCCCACGACCAGTCTTCGCCAGGGAAAATCGCCGAGAAAAAATCTGACTCCGCAAAAAAAGGCTCTGCCGAGACGGAGGAAACTCCCAGAAGACCCAAGAAATTATAAGGATTCGTTAAAGTTATCTTATAAAGATGCTTTAATGAGAACTTATGATTCTTGAGGGACTAGAGCCTTGGAGAAATTTTGGGAGAGACTCCAGAAGAAGCAAAAAATCGTGGAGATCATACCGGTATCGGAGAACTCGGGGAAATTACTAAGGAGTGTGGAAAGAAGCTGACCTTTCCACGGAATCAACATCCTCTCCCGACACCAGCCCACAATGACTACTCGTTCCCCAGGGAAGACGTCGGTGGAGCTGAAGCAGCTCAAGAGGAGCTGCAAGAGCCCCAAACTCCTCCTCCGGATGCATCCAGTTCAGCAACTTCGGCATCAACGACGCACATAGTCGTCAAGAAAACTCCGAGCCTTGGAGAAGAGCCTTTCTCCAAGCAGCTTTGGCCAACTGCCGGCTCAGGAATAGATAGCAACGAAAAGATGTGTACGGAATATTGGGATGTACCCTATGATCCTATCAATGAAACTATCTTTGGGTACTCCGAGAACGCCTGCCCTTCGTGCTCGAGGTCATCCGCAAAGGACGACGCCTCCAAGCACTCGTGGACAGCGGAGCATCACACACAGTATGCGACAAGGCAACAATCGACCGAATTCGGGAAGAGTACAAGCCTTCAGCATTCTCTGCAACGATGGTGGACGGCAACAAGTTACCTATCCACGGCGAAGCAGTGTTACACCTACAAATCGGACCACTGTGCTAGAAACCGGCACTCCCCATCACCCACATAAAAGGGCTTGACTTGATCGTCGGGCGAGACTTCCTAAAAAAAATAAAACATGAGATCAACAGGGTTAACCATACCGCAAGCATCTACAACAATGGAAAGAGAGTCCAGCTACGCAATTGGGACAATACAGGAGATATCCCAGTGGAGACACTCGCTTTGTTTGAGAAGAACATGAAACAAACCGACACCGGGTTCCTGGCGATAGCAACAGATGCGGAAGGTGACGGAGAGAAAGCCTCGGAACCTCCTGAAAGAAATAAGAATTATTCAAGGACTTCCAAGACATTCTTCTCGACGACCTCCCTAACGAGCTACCGCCATACCAAACGCAGCAACACAAGGTCGTGGAAGAACCAGGTTCGAAGCCGACCTTCCAAGCACCATATCGGCTCAGCCCCACAGAGCTCGCTGGCATGAAGAAACAGATTGAATATCTCCTCGAAAAGCCGAAATCAACCACATTTTACACCCACTCTTGGACGAATGCGTGGTGTTGTACCTGGACGACATCCTCATCTACTCGCGCTATATGAAGCAGCATGTCGAACATATGCGACGCGTCTTCGACATTCTTCGACAAGAACGATTCTATGTCAAACTATTGCCCTCAAGAAGGGCCACTTCCTAGGACACATAGTGAGTGCTCAAGGAATTCATGTCTACCCCAAGAAGATCGAAGCTGTACGCACGTGGAAGACACCCGAGAACATAAACAAGTTGAACCAGTTCCTAGGCTTCGCTAACTATTACAACAGGTTCGTGCCACAAATTTGTTGAAGAAGAACACGCCCTATCACTGGGAACCAAAACATCAGGAAGCCGTGGAGCAGCTGAAACCAGCACTCATGTCCGCATCTCTACTCATCTTGCCAGACCCCGAACACGACTCCGTTATTGAAGCTCACGCTAGTGACTAAGCAATGGGAGCAGTCTTGATGCAAGACCAATGCAATTTCTTGCAACCAATCGCCTACCTCAGCAAGAAATTGCACGGGGCAGAACTAAATTACCCGATACACGACAAAGAGGCCCTTGCTATTATCACCTTCAAAACGCGGAGATGTTATCTCGAAAAGCGAAAAACAACCGTCTACACCGAGCACTGCAGCCTGAAATATTTGAGGACGCAGCCAAACCTCTCCAGGCGGCAGGTCCGATGGATTGACATCCTCGAGACGCACTTCCACTACGACATCTTGTACAAGCCCAGACACAAAAACAAAGCAGATGCTCTTAGCCGGTCTGCACACGTTGCCGCTATCCAGGTCGAAGGGACTCTTCACACACGAGTACACCAGTGGCCCCAAAATTCTCGTGGCAGAAAAGCGACACCTGCTACAGTGGGACATTGACATCGCGTGCTGGAAAGGATAAAAAAAAATCTGGGTACCCAATTACCCTCTTTGTGACAATTACTACTCGAAGAATACCACAATGTCCTATATGCGGGACACTTCGGTAGCAACAAGACGCTCACCGGTATTGCAAAGCACTACTACTGGCCCCACATGGCAGACAACATACATAAATTTGTTACCTCGTGCGACACATGTCAGCGTATGAAGAGCAGCAAACAGAAAAAGGTGGGACTGCTGCAGCCTCTTACTGTCCCAGAACAGCCATGGCAAGTAGTTAGTCTGGACTTCATAACCGGGTTACCAACTACCACGAGCGGCCATGACGCAGTCCTCATTGTCATCGACAATTTTTCCAAAATGGGACACTTCATCATAACACACATGACAGCTTGCACTGAGGAAACATCACAACTATTTGTTTGCTACAAAACCTCAAAGCATGGCATTCCAACCACATCCATCTCCAACTAAGACCCCAAGTTCACCAGCAAGTTCTGGAGGGAATTGATGTCTCTACTCGGGACCGAAGTCACCATGTCATCCGCTACCATCCACAGATAGATAGACAGACCGAGCGTCTCAACCGAATTGTAGAGCAACTCCTTGGCGCTGCATGCAAGGACGAAATCTCTAAGTGGGAATTGCATCTACCCATCCTAGAGTTTGTCTACAAGAAGACCCACGCCGCTACTGGACAAACGCCGTTCTTCCTCTGTAACGGATGCAACCCGCTCACGCCACAAATACAAACAGCATCAGTCACAGACCAACCCGCACATGACTTCATCACGACCATGCATCAGCATGGGATCGGACCCACAAGCGCCTCCTCGACATTCAGCAGCAACAGAAGCGTTAGGCCGATCGCCACCGCACTGACCACACCATCACCGTGGGAGACCAGGTTCTACTCGACTCCTGCAATTTTGACATCAGTCGTCTCCCATCCAAACTTCGACCACACTTCTGCGGGCCCTTCCTCGTTGAAGCACAGGTCACTCCTATTATCTTCTGCTTATGCCTGCCATCTACCTGGAAGATTCACAACGCCTTCACTGCCCAACTCTTGAAGCCCTACCACGATCCCAAATTCGGTCTTCACAGGACGCCAACCACCGCCGCCAACCGCCGCCGCTCGTCCTCATCAACGATGAACCCGAGTATGAGGTCGATTCTGTGCTTGCCCACCACCGTCATCGGAATGGCACCGTGGAGCTTCTCATCCGTTGGAAGGGTTATGATCCTTGAGGATAGCTGGGTCCCTAAATCTGAGATGGGTAACGCTCGTCGTCCTTTTTCGCGACTACCTTGACAAGCAGGGTGTTACTTCTACCACCCTGCTTTGAGGGGGCATGTATGAAAATACGACCCCGTTACACTTCTTTCTCATTTCAATATTTCTCCTCTTCCTCATTCTTTCATTTATCCTGATTCATGTGGTCTTTATCACATCTCATTTGGGTTCCTATTCCTCATTTTCCATTATCCTTTCATTTATCGTATTATTATCATTATATCACCGACCATGCTCGGGATGTATTGGTGCGCTATATCTAGCGTAAACTTGCTGTAATCCCTTAAAGAAAATAGTCGCGCGTGGCTTTACGCAGGGTGATTCTATTTCTTGAAGGGTCTATTCCCTTTGGATATGATTAATTCGATTACCTGATGTGCCTTGGAAGTATAAAAGCGCCTTGTATAAATCCATACTGCAACTTTTCCTCGACCCATTTGATCTTGTGACAGCAGCCCTAGCAGCAGCAGCAGCAGCAGTCACAGCAGCAGCCGTGGGGACCCCCGACGTCGTGGTGGCCTAGAGGCTCTGGTAGTGGTGGTCGTGGTGGTGGGCCGCACAGCTCGGTGTCGGGTGGCGGCTCCAGTGTGGTCACCTGCCAGTACTAACTCCAGTCCGGCCTCCGTCGCGGCACCGTCTGATACTGTCCCAGTCACATCGCAGCTCACTGTTATTTTCGCCTCGACGACCTCTTCCGACTCTGGTTTGGCCCTACGTCGGACCCTGTCGACTGGCACAATCTGGTACGTCGCCATGTGCCGATCTTTGAGATGGATATGGATCACATTTGCTCAGCTATTTATGTCATGTATGCTAATGATTCTAGTGTGACTGGACCTTATTACTTATTTATGTGCGTGTGCCTCCAGTGTGTAGTCTAGGCTCCCCTGCTGCGTCAGGCATAGGACCTCCTGATTTGTTTAGCCTAGCCTCCATGCTAGCCCTTCCACCTGCTGCCGCTACCACCACGCTTTCTTTCACGCTAGACTTTGGTGCGTCCGCCTGTTCTTTCGTAGTCACACTGCACTCACGCTACTTGCCGCCCTTGCAGCTATCGCGCTTCCTGACCCCTCCTAAGGTCTTGTAGTTGCCCGTAGCTCCGCCACCCTTCCTTGTCCGACGTTTCGCTCGGACTCTCTTACAGGCCTGCACATCCCCTCGTTCTCCTAGAACATAGTTGGTGTCGGCTGACTTCAGGACCTCGGCGTCACCACTACGTTCCCCGAACACGAGCGGTACACGGTCGGCACTAAGGCTGCCACTGGTGCCCCTCTCACCACGTTCCCCGGGGACTCGGTGTCCGGCCCGTTTTTGCTTGACACCGAGTCCCCCCTGGTAGGGGCGTCTCCCAAGGTGGCCACACCCTCCCAGGTTGCCGCAGCTTGCTCGTGTCGTTCGCTCACTCACCCATCACTTCTGTGGCACCACCGTCTAGGTCACCCTGCACTCCCATATGTGCATCACATATCCCAGCACGGTCTTGTCTTCGGTCTCCCTGCGTCGCTCCCTTCTCTCCCTCCCTCACCTGCGGTGCCGTGCATGCCCTGCATTAAGGGCCGGATGCGCCGTGCTCTGCACTCCTCCTAACGTCCCCAACCACTGCGCCACTCCAGACCCTGCACCTAGACGTCTGGGGCCCAGCCCCTGTCCCTGGGCCGCGTCGAGAACTCTACTTTCTAATGCTTGTGGACGACTACACGCGCTACACCATGGTGTTTCCCCTGGAGCGGAAGGCCGACGTACCTGAATTTCTTATCCTGTGGGTCGTAGCTGCGCGAGTCTACCGCGACCTCCCTGTGTTGCGTCTTCACTCCGACCGTTGCGGCAAGTTTGCCTCCAGTCAGCTTGGACAGTTCTGTCATACGGAGGGCATCACCCGATCATACACCCTGCCGGACTCCCCGCAGCAGAATGGCATCGCGGAGCGACGCATCGGTTTGGTCATGGATGTGGCTCATACCTCCATGATCCATGCTGGTGCACCCCATTTTCTGTGGACGTTTGCTGTTCGCTACACCGCTAACTAGCTTAACCTGTGGCCACACTCCCAGCAACCGCAGGTTTCGCCGACCCTCCATTGGATCGGGTCCCCTGGTGACATGTCTGCGTTGGATGTCTGGGGCTGCCTTGCTCACGTTCATGCCTCTTGCACGGACAAGCTCACTACCCGTATTGTTCCTTGTGTCTTCCTTGGCTTCCCCCTAGACGCGTATGACTGGCACTTTTACCACTCGCCGTCTCGCCATTTCTTTCACTTACGTGACATCACTTTTGACGAGTTTGCCTCGTTCTACACCCGCTTTCACTACCGAGGTCTCCCGGTTATCTCGCCCATGTTTCTGGTTCCCACTCCCCCGGTAGCCCCTGCTCCTCTCCCTCCGTGTCCTGCCCAATCTGGTGTGTCTCATATCACTCCCCTCCCGTCGGTTGTCCTGGTAGAGGAGTCGGCAAACTCTGGGGTGCAGCAGCAGCCGTCGTCACTACTGTCGCAGCCGCAGCAGCAGCCGTCGTCGCTGCTCTCGCAACCGCAGCAGCAGCCGTAGTCGCCGCCGCCGCATGGATCCGTGAGCTCTAGGGGTGCGGGCGTTGAGGAGGGTGCTAGTCCTGGGGGTACTGTCGTGGCTTATCCCAGCGGTTCTGGGGGTGGCACCGGTGCTGAAGAGGGTTCTCGTTTTGGGATTGGTGGTTCTGGGGGTGCTAGTCCTTGGGGTACTGTCGTCACTTGTCCCGGCGGTCCTAGGGGTGGCACCAGTGCTGGAGATGGTTCTCCCTCTGGGGGTGTTGTCGTGGAGCATCTCAGAGGTAGCCGTGGTGCGGCTGGAGGTTCTGGCGTCGGTGTGGAGCAGCAGTAGCAGTCGCCACCGGTGTCCGCCCTTCGCCTCTTTGGTCTTCCCTCCCCCGACCGCCCGCCTGTGCCTCCCCCTCCGCTGCCTCCCCCACCTGTCTACGGCCCTGTGCTTCCTCCGCCGGACTCGTCCCTGGCTCGTTTCCCCCCTCGTTCTCCTCCTGTGTCTCCTCCCTTGTCTCCTGAACTGACCCCCCCCTCACATTGGTGGTCTCACCGTGTCTCTCGTGCGCTTCCTATTTCTCTTGCCTAGCGCTCTCACCCTATGTTGCTCCGCTCTCACGCGTCTCGTGCTCCGCTTCTACCGTCGCCTCCTCAGTCCTCGCTTGCTGTCTCTCCGCCTCCTCTCTCTGACTTCCTCCATGCCGGTAGTCCGCTTGTTCCTCACGTTCTTGCCTCTCTTGTTACTGACCCGTCTTTTCCTGTCTCCAGTCTTGATGCTCTTGTCGTTGCCGTCTCAGACTTTGCCTCTACCCACCGCCTTGACAACACCACCGCTCTGGTCTCTGACCCTGCTCATTCTACGTCCGTCAGGGGTGTACCTGCTTTCGTTTGTGACGCCCTAGAGGACATGCATTACGAGCTAGCTTTCTTGTCCGAGGTGGCTCCCCATCTCTGCTCCATGCTCCTAGTCCTTGAGGGTGATCCAGATGCCCTTGACATCTCGACCCCTCACACTTATGTTGAGGCAAGTTTTTACCCTCGGCCTCTCAGTGGATAGCTGCCATGGACGTGAAGATGGCATCTTGGAGATCCATCGGCACTACATTAACGCAGTTCCCTCACCTGGGGTAAACGTACTCGGTGGCCGATGGCTCTTCAATGTGAAGCGCCCTCCTGGAGAGCCGTCGATGTTCAAGGCGCGCTACGTTGTTAGAGGCTTCAGTCAGCGTGACGGTGTTGAATTCTTTCAGACCTTCGCCCCGACCCCGAAGATGACCACTCTTCGGTCGCTGCTACACGTAGCAGCACAATGTGACTACGAGCTTCACTCACTCGACTTCTCTATAGCGTTTCTCCAGGGCAGTCTGCACGAGCGGGTCTATCTGCGTCGTCCACCAGGCTTTACCAACACCTTCGTCCTTGGGACCAAATAGCTTCTCTGGCGCCTGGTTACTTCCTCCAACAGGCGCCCCGTAAGTGGCAAGACACAATGCGTGCCACGTTAGCTGACCTGCAGTTCTTCCCGTCCTTTCCAGGCCCTTCTCCCTTCATTCGTTCAAGCTAGACCCTGTTCTATATCCTTGTCTACATAGACGACCTGGTCTTCACTACTACAGACAGAGACGCACTGGCCTCCGTGAAGGCTGAGCTGCTGAGGAGACACACCTGCACTGACCTAGGAGAGCTGCTTAGCTACCTTGGCCTACAGATCTCCAGGGACAGAGCAATGCGCACCATCATTCTCACAAAGTCCCAATTGGTGCGCCAGGTCTTTCAGAG